ATGTTTCTAGTTCTTGATCTAGTGTTAGTTACCCCCTTCCCTATATTGATCCGTTATATCGAGGTTTTACAGCATTTTTTGTATTCAAAGTAAAATAGTAAATTTTATCTAAAATTAAAAAATCCATAAATAATAATACAATAATCCAATGTACCAATTGAGATTTTATGACTCTTAAATTCCAAAGTTTATTTATCTTATTGTTACTTGGTTTATTTATAATAGAAATAAACAGTTAAAACGGTAAATCGAGTTCAACATGTATTAAACTGAAAAACGAGAATTTAAAAAAAAACCGTTTAAACTGAGTCATCTCGATTTTTTACACAAATTTATAAAAATAAAAAAATCTAAATCCTAGTTATTTTGAAAGGTTTGTGCCATTTTTCTTTATAAATTAAAATTAGCACATGCAAACGAGACAAAATAATTTATTTGTAAGATTAACCCAATTTATAATCCGACAATGTTACAGACAACGGCTTTTTTTTAAATATAACTTTCTGCGCCGCCCCGGTTGTAACATCGCTGACAACATTGTGTATAATAAAAGAAATGAAATATGGAAGCGGATCCGGTTTCTTACTTGAACGAAGAAAACCGTTCCAAGATAATTATAGAACAAACAATTTTTTTTAATAAATTGCTCCGAAAATACTTTTCGAAAATTAATTGAGAACATCCCAATTTATTGTTAGTATTTGGTTTGTTAAGTGAGGCTTTTATGTAAGCATAAAATGAAAATTAAAACGAAAGAGTGCGTAATAAGCTTTGTTGTTTAATGGAGTGTTTCAAATTATTTTCAAGTTACCAGAGTGGAACAACTGCGGTATTAATAGCTAGTGTATTGTGTAGGTACGATATTTTAATGTAGATGTGTCATTTATCAAGGGCTTAGTGTACATAATTTAGGATTTAACATCTTTATAGGGATCTGAATACTATTAATAATAATCTTTGTAGCGTACAGCAAAAATGAAACGAAAACAAGTTAATCAGCCTAATATTTTTTTTAACATAAACCAATAATCAGTAAAATTAGAAATTTGGCAAGTTTCTTTAAAAATCCTAATTAGAGGATTTATTTATCTTTAGAAATACCTAACTCACAGAAACTAATATTATTTATTTACAACTTCGGTGACGTAGAAAAAGGCATACATTATAGAATCATTTTTCATAAACTACAGATTATATTTCCGAAATATCCTACGGATTAAATATTACTATAAATTTAATTTAAAAGAAGTAGAGACAACATTAGAACAGCATAGAACAAGAAGAACAAGAACTAAGTTGCATATAATAAGCTAATCGATCTAAACTTGAGATTGAAGTTCGTAAAATGTTACGTATGGTCGGTGCTTCTGTATAGAGTAGAAAGGTAAACCTTAAAACCAAGTGTAACAAATATACTGGAAACATTCGAAACGTGGACATACCGCCGAATACTGACAATCCCTTGGACTGCAAGGGTAACAAATGAAGAAGTACTCACTCAAGCAAACAAAGAACTACATATTTACCATAATTAAAAAGAGAAAAACTGCATGTTTGGGACATGTCATGCGACATGATAAATACAAATATCTCTAAGTAACAATTGAGGGCAAATTAGAAGGGCGAAAAGGAATTGGCAGAAAAAAATATCCTGGCTCAGAAATATTCGACAATGGACCGGATTATTTGCAAAGTAACTATTTTTGTAAGGACGCAAGTTAAAATTGTCCATTATCTTTTGTTTACTTGCTATTATTAACGTTTGTTTTTCTTATGACCATAACCTTCAAATATCAAAGTCATATGAAAAGGTCCAAAAATAATGTAGGACATTACAAATAGGGAACAAAACAGATTCTACAGAAAAAATCGTTAAAAAAAGTTAAGATTTAAAAAAAATACTTGAAATAGTCAGACCATTTTTTATTTACTCAATATTATCTTCGGGATTTCCTCGTCATAATTACAAATGTCGTGGAATTATAGAAAAACGGAACACATGATAACCTTCATTTTATTTATGATTAAAAGTAATATCAAATTGTTGAAAAACCATAGTTTCCGAGATGTTATTTCTAAAATAACAAGAAATAACTGTAATGAAGTGATAAGAGTTATACAGGGTGATTCTCAACCTATACACATAAACTTAGGGATTTACTCCTCATGACAAATAATAACTAATGGGCGAAAAAAGTAGTAAAAGATTTTCTGTTTCATAGATATCCGTGATATTTACTTACAAATCAAGAACACATAGAACATTTTAAAATAACATCACAGCAAGTGTTCGAAGTTATTTCCCATATTGTCTATCAATTGGATTTCCCGAATCCACGATCTCCAAGTAGCGCAGCCTAAACCAGGGTGTTGGCGAATTGTCTATGCAGCAGCATGTACCTGATTTTGCAATATTTGCTCAGTATTAACTTACGTGACGTACACTCTTTAAGATCATGGTGGCCAGGCCATTGGACCATCTTGACCTATCCATCCTCCAAGAAACAAATGATCTAGATGTCGCCGATTATATCGGATATCTAAGAAACTAAAAAACTTTTACTACAATTTTTTTCATTTATTAGTCATTATTTCCATCTATTAGTCTTTTTTCATTAATCCCCAAGCTTATGCGTATAAGTCGAGAATCACTCTGTTATAAGGCGATTGGAGATGAATAAAAAATTATTCATTTCGGTGTTTAAGCATTAAATTGTATTGTAGAATATTCATAAATTAAAAATGTAGTTATTTTACATAACAAATCAATTTTTGATTTATTTAGGTGATAACTTGACATCAAGAATTTTTGAAGCCAAAAGTTAATAACAATAATTAAATCCTATTATAATAGTGATGGAAATAATCAACCGATGTGTGATTGACAGATAAAAAATCTGCAAAACCACAATAGTTGGATAGAGGTAGTGATAGTTGAAAACATTTTTATAATGTATAAGAAACATTTTCCCATTTGTATCCCTCGTTTGTTGGAAATTTTTATATACCTTTTTATTAACAATAATTTAATATACGATTTTCGGGGACGCAAACTACCCTCAAAAGCCGGCCAATCTTTCTCAGTACTCAATTTTAGCTCTTCTATGTAACAAGTATATAAAACGGGGATGTATGGTATAACTATCTTGCTGACCCAAGAGGAAGTTTTCCATTTTTGGATCTACGCATATATCCCAATTATGTTCTACATACTTTATTTTCTACAAAACTAAACAAAGAAGCTAGTTTATTGCCATTATGCATGAGTACAAAACTTTAGACTGCGTATCGATGAATCTATAAATAAATGTCAATCATTTCAATCATAGTTTTGTAATCCGGCTGTAGCTACTAAATCAGAAATATTGTTGCGTAACACAAAATGCAACAATAAGTAATACATATTTTAAAATATCAAGAGCGTACTATAGATGTTTTTAAAAATATACGGTTGAGTTTGATTAGGTTTGGTTGTGTAATTCTTTTGTGATATATTGCTTTTCATGTTAATATTAAATACTGTTCATCAGATAGCAATCCTCAACACCATTATTGTCCATTATTGGTAAAGATAGCTGGTACAAAAAACACCAAGCAGAAGCTAATAACAGTTTAGACAGTTTTAAGCACAAGAGACCATCACTTTCTGCAAAAGTTCAAAAAGCTATTAAACCTATTTATCAAGATTTATATCAGAGGATTTATTAGGACGCTGTATAGGAGGAAACACCCAGAATAGCAATAAAAGTCTCAATTCGCTCATTCGGACATTTTCTCAAAAACATCTGCCTTCTGGCCCAAAGATAGATAGTTTAGTTTGCGACGCATTTAGCATTTAATATCTTTAATGAAGGTTACACACCGTTGTTAACAATGAAGCAAAATATAGGTATTACGTATTACTTCAGCTACTGACATTTGTGCATATGTGGAAGCCAGAAGGAAAATTTGGAACGTTTCGAACGGCGAGCACAAAATCAAGCCTTCTATAAAGAAGAAAGACAATGGAATTGGTAACTAAAGGTAAATCACGATTTATCATTTTATCACCAGTACTTCAACTTTAAACAACTTTAACAAAACTTGTTAGTACCTAAAATATAAGAAGAATGTGATGTATCAGTTAGAAAGACAACGTAAGATCGAAACTAACGAACGTCATAAAAATTGGGAAAAGAACTGTGAAAGATGAATTCTAAATACATTTACTATTATACAAAAGGAAGGTTATCCTTTTATCCAGTATTTTATAACTCTGCGACTAATGATGGAAAAATCCAGAAACTAATATCGAACAAATAAATAAAAAGGCTATAATAAAATTTATGTTAATATTTTCAAGATAAGAAGTTAAAAAATAACCTCCGGATTTGAAAACTATACAATTTCATATACGCCGTTAAAATTACACAATATCATCTAAAAATACCTAGATTCCAACAGATGATAGTTGTAAATAAATTTTAGTAGTTGTGAATTTCGGGTTAAGACCTCCCAGAAGTACTTCTACTGCCGGTGTTACACGTCACATGTAGGTTAACGCATCATTAAGCCGGCTAGTCATAACTTCTCAACCGGAATTTATTATGGTTGTACGGTACCACATATATTTTCGGAACATTGTAAATGATAATGGTAACAGTTGATGTCACACGGTTCATGTTCGTTTCCGACATTTCCGTTCCATTTTTATGGTTGATAAAACTAAATTTGTCTCATTTATTCATTCTAAGTAGATATTATTTTAGCTTAATTAGATTTAATTAGGATTTCAATTTCTTCCCTGTTATAAAGCTAATTTTGTTCGATTTCAAAATTTACGAAAATTAGGTTAAATTTATTTTGTTTTGAGTTGCAAGCAGTTTATTGTGTTATCTTAATGACGTTCGTTTCTTGGTTAGCTTATTTAAATTAATTGAAAATAGATGGAATTTACTATTAGATCTTTGACGCTTTTACTTTAAGTACTAAGTATCTTGAATTTGAAAATATATTCTTACCGGTTCTAAATCGCTCTGGTTAATTCCATTTGAATTTCCATCTCTGGATGATCTTTGTTCATAAGCTGCGACACTAGAAAAAAATAAAAAGAACGTATTACATCTACTCAATTTTGAATCACATGAGAATTAGACCTTAATAAATTTATATAAGTACAGTAACGACGTTAACTACGTCGCTTTTACGTTAGTCCGTGTATGATATTCGAGGTGTTGATGACTCAATGGATAGGCACCAGACCGTCCGGTGATATTAACGCCCGAAATCTCCGTCTGTGTGAGAGAAATAAATTTGAAACGATGTAGAACAGGTGGACGACAGCGTTTTATAGAATAGAGCGAGAAAGGATGCCGTATGAAAAAGGGCAGGTTCTATCTTCACAAGCATAGAATAGTACCGACAAGCGCTTGGTCTATTTAAAATCGAGATTCGCACGGAGCGCTGCCGCCACTTCCATCTGTCACAGAAATCGTTCTCTCTCAAATGACGCACGTTAGGAATGCCCGCTTTCGATCATCAAGACATTCCTGGATGTTTCTATCTATTTTAACCCGAACACGCGCGTTCGTCACACTATAAATCGTTAAGTCATCTAACTAATCTGTGTCGACAATTTTTAAAAGTCTGAAATCGTTTGGAGATTTGTGACAACTGTTTCTCTTTTTCAGGCGATTTAAAATGGGTTTTTAATGAAAGGTGTAATTTGTAACAACAAAAAAACAAAAACGATTTCTTAATGATGCTCGTTCACGAAAATGGTTATAAACTATTATTAGAAATAATCCACATGGTTTTTTTTGTTTGCGACTATTAAGCTTCAAAGGCTATGAAACGGATCATTTGGTCTGCTAAAATTATCAAATGTACATTTTTTTTCTTAGGTTGATTTAAACACGTTCCTTTAAGTTTACAATTTCAATATACAAAACGAGAAAAGATCTAAAGGTGCCAAGTTCACAAAATGTTTGAAAGCAATAATTTTCGTTGCTGTCCAAAAATTGCGCATCACAAGGTGACAATTGATTTTAAGAAACCATATTTTTCTGCTTTTCATCACAATAATCATAACTTTAGCTCTTTAAATAAATTTTTATAAAAAAGAGTAAAGTTTTAAAGCCCACTTTTTGGCGATAAATCTTTAAAAGATATTTCATTTCATCTTTTATAGCCAAAATTTTTTGTGTAATTCAATCATAACGTTAAAGTTATTATGTTTGTCCTTGTGATGTATAAAGTAACAATTTATGAGAACGTTCGGAAATAATCTAAAAAACAAAACCGACGAATCTCGTAAATTTTTTAACTTCTAAAATGTTTTATTTTACACATTTTTTGTGTAAGCATCCAACCGAAATACATCCATAAAAGTATTTATATAAATAAATTTATGTATAAGGAAATTAAGTATGTAAACAATTAAATTTCGAATATTTGGGGCAAACATTACTAAGAACTAAGATGCGTAACCTTCAAAATATTTTCGAGATATTTCCGGAACGCATGTTGATGTAGGACGTAAGTATATCATCAGGTCAGAAAGAAATAACATTCATTCGTCATAGGAAATGTAATTTGCGGATTTCTAGCCTTTCAATCATAAATCACGCTGTCAGTTCAAGGATAAAACAATATTATATCACACGTGTTTTGATGAATTGTTTTACTTAACAGTTTCATGTAAAGTAATAAATATCGGAAATAACTTGTAAATTGAAAATTTTTAAATGAAATGTAAATGGTCTGTCAACATGGTAGTCCAAATAAGATTAATTATTATTTATTATTCACTTTCAAATTTAAATTGGTGCTTAAAATATGGTGCTTACATATGCTGAGAAGAAGTAAGCTCGAAGTCAAATATACAATGAACAAATACAAGATCAGAATGAATATGAGGAGGACAACGACATAGAACTGACAAATAACACGATAGAAAGCACCTTAAAGTCCTTTAAGAATAGAAAAAGCCCTGGCGCAGATGAAATCACCAACGAGATGCTTAAAAATGGAGGGAGAAAATTACAGAATGAGATATTAACCCTATTCAAGGATATCATAGAAGAATAAAAAATACCGAATGAATAGCAGAATAGCACAATGATACTCATTTTTAATAAAGGACAGAAGATGTATGCAGAAAACTATTGAGGAATAATTGAGGAATAACCCAACCCAACCCAACCCAACCTCTTCATATTTAATCTGATAATTGATAAAATAATAGAAAACCTTCCCAGAGCAGCTGGGTTCAAAACGAGAAACATATTTTTCTGGGTAAGACAGAGACGAAGATTCCGGCATGAACATACAAAAAGAATTGAAGACGACAGACTCGATAAAACTGTAAAAATTAATAACCCAGTAAGAAAAAGATCACAGGAAAGATAACTAAAACGATGGCGAAAATGTTGGAATTCATCATCCGGGGAAGACATGTTGGCAATAAACCGGCAGTAGCCTACCAATATTCGCAAGAAATTTAACTTATAAATATGAATATTTTTTGTTAACGGTCATAAAGCAATAAATACCGACTGATAAAACTGATAATAAAATTATATATCATGCTTCAATGTTGTTACATTAATTAAAAATAAATCTGCACGATCATTGAGATGTAGAAAATAATCTATCCGAGTTGTGATTTATTCACGGAGGACTTCAAACAATTTCAACCAGGATTTGTTTTATACATGAAATTTTCATCTAATTAAAAAACTATAGATATAAAGTTGGATGTGTTTTGTATGTATTTCAATTTTTTCTGCACATTTATTGACAGGGCATTCATACCAGGTTTGGTTGTATTAAATACTTGCAAAGTAATTGCAACAAGATAAGATAAAACTTATATTAGAAATTTCAATTTATCGTTTCTTTTTTAGTTGCTTTTCATAAATGAAAACAAAAAATCTTTTGTAAGGGTCAAAACGTTATCTATGAGTATGTACATAGAGTGATACAATAAAGTCTAAATACACCCCCCAAAATGATAATATCTCAGCTCCTGAAATGTAATTCAATGAATTTTTTAAACGAAGGATATTAGAAGTGTATGTTATTTTAATACAAAGTCGAAACAATTCGACTTGTGCTACGAAGCGAAGGCTACAACAGCTGTAGATTTAGTCGCACGTCTCTCAAGACGGCTAAACCTGAATTGTGTTAGTTCTAGTGATAGTGCAAAACTAAAACTAATCCTAGATCGAGAACTAAAAACATTCCGATTTAGCCGCACGTCTCTCAAGACTCTTGTGTTAGTTCTAGTGATAGTGTTAGTGTAAAACTAGAACTAATACTAGACCTAGAACTAGAAACATTCTAGTGAAACATGAACTAGATACTTTCTAGTTCTAGGTCTAGTGTTAGTTCTAGTTTTAGTTCAATACAAATATACAACATAGTGATATCTTATGCTAACTAGCGCTACTTACCACTGTCTCTAGAGCTAACATTAGACCTAGAACTAGAAACTTTCGGGCTTAGCCGCACGTCTCTAGACGGCTAAACCCGAATTATTCTAGTTCTAGGTCTTGTGTTAGTTCTAGTGATAGTGCTAGTGCAAAACTAGGTGAACTTGGACTTGTTATAAACTAGTCCCTATTCATTTAGACAAGTTTTTAATGACTATCGACTAATTTTTAGTCATTTTGAGCAACATGGATTGTTTAAAAACTAGTTGTTAATCATTTAGACAGGTATAAAATTATTCTCAACCAGTTTTCAATGATTTGGCATAACATGAGATGGCTATCAACTTATTTCCAATCATTTTGAACAATTTTGCTACCTTATAAACCAATTTTAAATAATGTTGGTGCAGTTTTCAGTCATTGTGAGCAACATGGATTGTTTAAAACCTGGTTGTTAATCATTTAGACAAGTATAAAATTATGCTCAACCAATTTTCCTAACCTATTTCGAAACATTTTGAAAAATTTTGCTACCTTATAAAGCAATTTTAGTCACTTTTATTAGTCTAGTGTTAGTTCTAGTTTTACACTTGCACTGTCACTAGAACTGACATTAGACCTAGAAACATTAGACAGAGACGAAGATTCTGAAATGAACATACAAAAAGAGAAGAGAAAGAAAGAGAAAATTAGACGTCAGGTCAACTCTCAAGAATTCTTCATAAAAAATTAAACTTATCTCTTATTTATTTATTTTTCATTTAGTTACCTTTTTTTTACTTTCAGGCATATACAAAATATATAAATAAAAGTATTGTAGTCGTACAACAATTCAGACACAAGATTTTGGTAAATTTGGACATTTTGAGAGCGTTTTATGTGTATATTTCCATATGATGTGTGTATACAGCTTAATCAGCTATATTGCAGATACTGGGTAAGTGATAATTAAACTTCAATCGTAGAAATCCATAACCTGAATACCTACCTAACCGATTTGACATAAATTTGCAGTATGAATAGAGATAAAGAAGTAATAGGTTGTATTTAGAACATTTAGATATGTAATTGTAATTAAATCGCGGCAATGTTTATACACTGTTTCTTTTACACAAGTGTTCCAAGTAATTGCCCCACTAGAGGCGACTAGGTAACGGCTCGAAACATAAAGTAGGTTAACAACAGTATGACATGTATTTCTCTTTATTGCCTTTTTAGTTTGTTGGTCTTGTAAAAATAGTCCTAGCATCAATCTGAGAGACATCATCTCTACCGTTCTTAGTTTCTGTTTTGTTCTCTGTGTTTCTGCTATGGTCTCTGTCTCCTAGGTCACCACTATCGCCTTGTATATTTTGACTTCACTCTCTACTTGCATGTATTTGTTTCTCCAAAATACTCGTATGAAGCGCCTTGCTTTTGTCGCTTGGTTTTGTGACTCCTTGTATAGGTTGCGATCGCTTGAAATTTCGACCCCCAGGTAATTGAAGGTCATCACTTGTTTTATTATAAGGGCATTCCGCTGCAGCGTGCAGCTTCGAGACTAGACATCACTAATTTTGATGTTTTGCAAAATGTATGGAGGATTTATGGAGATTAACTTCATTCTCTGCTATAAGTAGTGCATCGTCTGTATAGTAGATTATGTTTATTTTATCGCTTCCTATTTTGTACTCGTCCAGACCTCTTCTATTATCTCTTTCATAATTAGATTGAAGCAGAACGGGCTTAGTGAATCGATCGTTTTAAAACCCTGGAAAATCGGGATTTCCTCCAAGCTGTAGAGGCACTATCGTTGTATAATTTAATCTTTGTTTTATTGTGTGTGTTTATTTTTTTAACTAGTCATATTATAAGGTTTTAATTTGACTCTAGCAAAAGTTTTTGTTAGGTCGACGAAACAAACGTATGTTGGGCAATTAAATTCTATAGATTTTTCCATGATTTGACTTATTTTGAACATCGCGGCTATTGTATCTACCTTCTATTGCATCGGAATCCCTGCCGTTCATCCATAATTTGAATCCTTGCATGGAGGTTTTGTTCTATGATATTAGTTGATAGTTTCAGCGTAGTGTTCAATAAGGTTATGACTTTATAGTTTTCTGATGTCATCCACTCCTGTGATATCGTAGATGTATTTAGATCACCATTTTAGAATTTTTCTATTTGTCTCATGAAGTTTCACCTGGATGTGAGGACATGGGCGTCTCTCCATAATAATAATATAATAATAATTCTTCTGCGCCTGATACAAATCAGATTACATATTTTTCTTCAACATTTCCCAGTGTTCGTGCAACATAATGAATCATGCAGCTTAAAAAGTTTTTTTTAGTTGTGCTACTAATTATGTTTAAATGTTTTATAAAAGAATTTAGAATACGGTATAAGCTGCTAATTTGGATCATCGTACATAAAATTTAAAAAATACAATGGAAAAGTTGAATTCAAAGAGAAATGTTTTAATGTGGAACGGTTAAATACATGTCTATATTAAAATGTATTTGTAATCTACATACCAGGAACAACACAGTTTACCCTTAATGAAATCCATTTTTTTTGCTGGTAAAAAGTGGACCACAAAAAGTTCTAACATAAACTAAATATTTGCGATACTTAGCGGATCAATATAACGTAGCATCGATAAGATAAGCAACGAAATCTTTTATCAGGGGCTGATTAGAAAAAAAATTAAGTAAACACTTTGGCTTGATTATGCGATTTATCACATTTTAAATATTCTCTATGAACACATATATTAAATACGCCTTTAGAATTTTAGAAACATTAACAACACACATATTTTCAATCGAATTAAAATTATTTTGGATACTTTTGTATAAAGTTTTGTAGTATCACACAAAAATTTTCATTCAAATAATTTAACAAATTCCAAAAGATAAAAATTGTTATACAAGATTTAGATAAGTAAATATAACATCGTAAAACAGCGAATTATCATATTTTTTTTTTAATTAAAAATATATTTTATTATATAATTTAGTTCTGGTCTAATACATGTAATCGGAATAATAGCTTTATTCCAACAAGCTTCTTTCAGACTGCTTGTGAAGCCGTTGTTTTAGACACCCATCTCAAACTATACAATCAAATCTGTCGAAATGTGATGGCATTATTTAATAGGGATTCCTTACCATTCAGAAACGTTTGTTAGGTAAAATACTGCATATTAATTTGATATTGAAATGTGAAGTAGATGTTACTCAAATATCAACAATAAATTTAGTAATGATCAGTTAAAATATTTTCCTCCACAAAATATTGAAATAATAATAGTTACTTGGAGTCGAGAAGGAGAGTACAAACAAAGCAGAATGAGTATGAATGTTGAGTAGAGTTTGAAGAAAGAATGAAAAGAAACAACAAAGAAAATGAAAAGTTGTTTTTCAAGATGTTAAAATCTTGCAGAAATATCTACGAGAATAAAGCGGTGAAAGATAAGAACGGACTAATACTGAAAGATGATCAGGAATTCTGGAAAGAATACTTTATGGAACTGTTATATGGAAATGGATAAGTAGATGAAAAATATGAATAACAGGCAAGTGAAAAGACATAAACGGATGAACAAATAAAAAGAGAAGTGTTGCCACATATACTAGAAACAAGCGTGGCAAGAAGAATGTTTTCCAAAAGATTGGCAAACTGTACTTTTAGTACTTTAGTATAAAAAGGGAGATAAAAAAAGTATGTAATAATTACCATAGCAGTATTTAGGATGCCTAAGTACAGCAATGAAAATTTTAGAATAAGTAATAGATCAAAATAAAACCTGCAATAGAACAGACAATGGACGTAACAAAGTAGTTGTAAAAAGCCAAAAGTATTCAGGAAAATCCTAGTAGTTTATAGACTATTCAAAGTCTAAGAAATTTGCCAATCTCAATTAATTAACGTTTTTAACAGCTAAAAACACTTCCAAATTTCTTTCAAAATATTTGTTACATAACTATTCGAATCCTAAAAAACATTTTCGTATTTTCCTGCGTTTTTTTATCGTCTCTTTCTACCAAACACGACAAGAACATATAATTTTTTTTCCAGTACTGTCTCAATGTTAAATATATTCTTCAGTGGAAAGAGCAAACTGTATCCTGACCAAACTAATTTTAATCAAACCATGCTGTATCTATGTTGTGTTGTAGTTAATAATAATAATAAACTTTATTCCCAACAGGTTCTCCACCCAATTACAGGAAAACAAAATTAAGTTGAGCATTGCTTGATCATTCCCAGAACGATATTTATTTTTGTGAGCTTCCCACTCAGCAGATGCATTTCATTGCATCGTTACATTTTTTTCATTTCTTCTTCAAATTTGTAGCTCAAAATTAATTGATGCAAGATTGTAAACTTATAAAAGTAAGACAGGCTTGTATTTGATTTTAAAAAATATATTAAATACACCAGAAATATTCTTTAAATAGTCTAAGAGTCATTTTATGTGAAAATATGTATATGTTGGCAAGCATTGCAAAATTATACGCTTAATTTAACTTAATGTGTGGGTTCTAATGTTTACCATCACCCACAACATAATGCTAAGTATTGTATTTATTACAATGCTCCCAAGAACATTTTTCTAAATTTTTATCACCCATAATATCTCAATGCAATATTTGTAAAGTACATAATGCATAAAAAGTGCGTTAATAAACTTTTTCTATATGGGTTTTCTATTTAGCGCACTAATTGTGAGATCTATTGATGCATATCTTAATAGAAAGCCTAATTAATAAGGATTTCAATGTAATACATCTTTTTTCATTTTAATATTTAAAAGATTTATGGTCAGGTAACCTGTTATAGTTGATAACAAATTCAGAACAACATGACTTGTTATATTTGAATGATTCAATATCCCTAAGGTCGGGTTAATCAGAAATGCATCAATTGGTCAATATCAAAATGGAACTTTAATTAATTTTACTTAATTGGTACAACGACATATATTTAACACCAACAAAGAGTGAGATATTAGTGTCTTATTCCGGAATTATGACCTTCCTTTATTCACTTTTATTATGTTGACTTTAAAATATTTGTTCGTGCTCTTAGCTTTTGGATTACACTAACGCAAAACTAAAAACTTACCTATATTGTGTTTCATCTGATCCGGTTGAGTTAAGAGATGAACAATCCTGAGATCTCTGTGCCCATTTCACCCTAACTTCCTGTTGAACTCTTTGTTTTAAAGCTAGCACCCTCATACGTTCATTTTCAATTACTTGACATCCTACCAAATCAAAAATAAATCTAATAAATATTAATAAAGAAAATTATGTAATGTTTATTTACCTTGTTGGACAAGATGCAATTTCCGTTTTCTTTCAATTTCCTTTAAAGATTCTATAGTTTTTCGACCTAACGAACCTCGTCCATCATCAATATTCATAGGAGAATTTGACGTAACTTTACTTATTCTATCGATATCATCTTGACTAGGATATTTCCGAACGATGTCTCCATCTAAAATTAATTTTTCGTGTAACATTTTCTCATTGAATGATTGCGACATATTGTAAATATCATCAATACTATGGGTATCGTTTGGATCCATCATTAAAGAAGTACTTAAATCGGGTGGTATACAATATTCGGGTTTATTTAAATGTTTTTCTTTATCACTATCAGTATCACTGGACGCTTCTTGCTCAGATTCTTGATTCGAATATTTCGATAATTCGTTATCAATGATTTTCATTTTATTGCGAACTTCTTCGATTTTCTTTGAGAACTCAATTTTTTGTTGTTCGATTTTTCGGTATTCTTCCGCGTTAGTACTCGAAGTTACCGATTGTTGATAATCCAGATCGATTATTTGTGAGTTAATTTCATCAATTTTTTGAGATAAATCAACGATTTCTCTTTGGAGCTCTTCGCGACTCGCCAACCAATCGGCTTCTTCTTCTAAATGATGAAATTCAAGATCTTCAAACGTTTTTCTTTCGTTGTCTAAAATTTCCTGTGCTGCTAAATAATCTTCAAACAGATCTTCATATTCCTTGGTACCTTTGGCAACATTTGTCATAAGTGTTTCTATTTTGTGCATGTTTTCTTGTGCCATTTGTAGTTTTTGTTTACAAACTTTTTGATCTTCTTCTTGTTTTGCTTGACAGTCTTTCATTTTTTCATCGATTTTATGAGCACGTTTTTGTAATTTTTCTTTTTTTGATTGTAATTTTTCTAATTCTACTTCTTTACTTTTAAATTCACCGTTTATTAAAGCCTTTTCCATTTGAAGCTAAAATAAATTTAATTAATCTTTTACAAAAAAAATTAATAAAATAATATTTACCTCTCTGTGTAATTCTTCACCTAAAATTTCAATTTCAGCCATTTGCCTTTTTATTTTAGCAATACCCGCTAAGTGTTCTTTTTTCTGTCCTTTTAATTCATCAATACGTTTTTTATTTACTTCCTGTTTACTTTTCGTTGACGTTAAACTATTTAAAGAACTTTGTAATGAGTCTTCGTTTAGTCGCTTAAATGTTTCGGTATAATATTCGTATTCGTCTCTCTTCATACTGTTATTCAATTCGATTGGTAATATGAGTTTTGTAGGTGTAGGTTTTTGTGAATCATCGTCTTTGTTAGGTGAATTTAAAGACTTTGTAAAATTGTTATGTTCTAATTGAACGGCGGCGAATTTGCTTTCAATCACATCAATCATCGGCAGTTTATTATCTTTTATTGGCTCTTTGTTTGTGATAAATGTTTTTATTCGCGTTCTCGGGGAATGGTGAAAAGGTGAATTGTTTTGCGGCAGCGTAATATTTTCATACATACTTCCACACGGTGAAACTGGTGAATCGTTTAAATCTGACAGAGAAACGTTGGAATTTGTTCCTTGAGCTATAACGTTTTCATAAGAATTATTTTGTTTAAAAATGTGTTCGGTTTCGAATCGAAAAATGTGGTCGTTCGTATGTTGAGGCGAATTTTTTAATAAATTTGGTGAAATACATTGTCTTTTATCCCTTGGTAATGAACCATTCGTTTTTATTCTGTAATTGTTTTAATTAAAATTATGTTAATTAAGAAAATATCAACATAAATAGAAAATTTTACCTGTTAGGTGTAATCGGTTTAGCTTGCTTTTCGCACTGAACTTGTTTCTCGTATTCTGCACACATGTTAAGAATCTCTTCTAAACGGACCTGTTCCGCTTTTTCAACTTCTTGTTCTTTAATCCTATCCACTTGCGCCTGCAACAACGATTCATGTAAAACTAACTGCGGTAGAACAATCGTGTTTCCCGTAAAAGTGAGGTCAGAGTCAGTACGGTTTGTAAATATTTATACAGATAATAATATTTTACTGATAAGAAACTGGGCAATCGCAACGTTAGTGGTTTGCTTAGATGTTGTATTAATCAGTATTACTTCATAAATTAATTTCTTATAATTTTTATATGATTTAATTATAAGTACTTATTAATGATGTTGCTTAAATCATTTTACATTAATTTTTGGTGTTTTGATAAAAAAATTATTTTTGTTGTTTGATATCAAATTTTATCAATTTGTTCTTAGTAATGTGAGTATTACATTACTTCTATATATATTTTTGTAAAATTGATATCGCAACTATTAATAGATTATAAAATAAATTTTTAGTATTTTGTGGTTAATATTTTATCCGCTGACTAAGGTAATGAAATTAAGAAATAATAAAACATGAAGTCATAATTTTTAAGTCTTTACGAGGTTTTAACTGTTTCAGAAAGGCATATATTACAACACAACCTAAAGAATTTGATTAAAATTACTAAAAACAAATTAATACTGTTCGAACCAAAGCTTTTTTTTTGAACCAACTCTGATGGCGAACTTTGGTGTTGCTATAATAGTTTGTTTATGGTAACTCAAATGTAAACAGTTTTCAGTTACAGAATATATTTAATACAACAAATATGCATGATTGAACAAACTGTAAACTTCAGTAATCAAAAATCACAGGATCTAAATGATACCTGAGAATTTTCCAAGAAATTGTTTCATAGATTGGAGCCAGACGATTTACTACTTTGTTGTTGATTTTAGACGTTGCCAATTTCATAGTTGATGCCGACATAGTTGCGCTGTCTTCTTGCCCCGTCTTGTGTGGGGTGCGGAAGATTATAAGATAAAAATTGAAAACGATCGAGTCTTCGAAAATATCATACAAAACTTTTACACTAAAATTTGAAGTCTTTAATTCTACAATTTTATTACAAATCTAGCTTTGTACTCCTGCAAAATTGCTTAATTGAAAACATCGAATACTGACAACGTGATGATTCTGATGATTTTCACTTCTGATGACAAGGGCCCCTTAGTAAACGAGAATTTGAGAGAAGAGAGTGATATTGATTCTCCAGATGACGTTGAGGAATGTGAAATTAATTCAGAAACGGAACAAAATGGCAAGGAGTTTAAAGATCAATGCGAACCTAGTCCAAAAGACATTTTTTAGGAAAAGATAAAAACCAAGTATGTTGGCGTCAAATGTAAGAAATATTGAATCATATGATATTTATAAAAAGTACAAACAAGAATATTTACAACTTGTTGAGAATGAAAAAAGAAAACGGAATGCGATAGCTATAAAAAATGCAGGTAATCAAGATAAAAAATATGGGAGGTGATAAATGGTCAACACTAATAAGGTTTTAAATGATGCAGGTTTTGGTGAACATTTTGCGGACGAGGAGCAAACCATTGCTTCACAAACCTACGCCATCATTCCAATTATCAAATGTGAATGTACCTAAAGAAAACAAATAAAAACAATGTGAATTCTTGTTTTTTCGGATTGGCTGATGACACTGAGGTAGCTGATATTATAAGAGGTCTTAGAGGAAAAAAAACTGAAGACATCTATGAATGCTCAACATATATAATTAAACAGGTGATTGCTGAAATAGCTCCAATTTTGACAATCATATTAAACAAATGCATAGAAGAGGGAATTTTTCCAGACAAACTTAAGGTGGTTAGGATCTCTCCGGTATTTAAGAAGGGAGACGATAGTAAATATGAAAATTATCATCCAATTGCCTTGCTGCCTATTCTTTCAAAAATTTTCGATGAAATCATTAATCGTCGAGTTGTCAGTTTTCTAGATAAATATGATATTATAACAGAATGCCAGCATGGTTACAGAGTTGAAAAATCTACGACCTCTGCAGTAATCAAGATCATAAATGAGATGACAACGGCACATGATGAAAGCTTTTGATACTGTAGATCAGCGAATCGCAATCGTTGGGTCGCGAAGGGTCGAAAAATGGGTCGCATAAACATCTATTATCATCATTATGCATTATATTTAATAATAGTTTTAACTTCCTTTGGGTCACATTAAGATTTTATTTATATTTTTGGGTCGCTACTTAAAAACGTTTGCGGAACGCTCAGTAGATCACAGTCTACTTCTAAATAAATTGCTCTTTTATGGAATAAGAGGTACATCCTATAAACTGATTGAATCTTACCTCTCCAATAGGTATCAATGTATCTACTGGAATGGAGAAATTTCCAATATGAAGAAATGCGTCTGCGAGGTCCCTCAAGGGTCTATCCTTACTTTTATGTAAATGACTTGCCGGACTGTGTGACTGGAGTCACTTCCTGCCTCTACGCCGACGACACGACGTTTGTAGTGCGAGACAGTACAGTGGAATTTATTAACAACAAAAGTACCGAAATTCTGCACACGGTGACTGATTGGACGAGAGCAAATAGATTGGTACTAAATAATGAGATAACACAATTTATAAAAATTTTTCAACGAGAAGAATCAAGCGTGAAGTTTTTGGGTTTGCATCTTGTTTCGATGTTTGACTCTGTCGCAGCTTATGGTGTAGCATATTGGGGGTCAGCTTCACGTGTCAGAAGAGTGTTTCTTCTACAAAAACGGTATGTAAGTACGTGCCCTTGATAACCTTATGACAAATGAGACTTGTAGGTTGTCGTTTCAAAGGTACTGTATACTTACTATTCCTGCGACCTATATCTTGGCGTGCTTGAACTATGTTCATAATCATAAGAGTGAGTTTACAACCAACTGTCAACTACATAGTTGACTTTTTTTTATCTTTTTGAGTTACCAACTCAGATTAAATGTAACACAACAGGGTGCTAAATTATACAATAAATTGCCTAACAATTCCAAATTGTTAAATCCCCAGAAATTTAACTCAAGAGTTAAAAATATGTAAAATATGTAAATACGTTAATAAATTTATTCTCTCGAAGATTTTTATAACTGCGACCTTTGTACTGGCGTCGATTAAAATTACTTAAATGTGGCGAAATTGTGTCTGTAATTTATTCGCTTACTTTTATAATATAAAAGAAACTTTATGTAATTTATTATTTCTATGATAATTCTTGTATTTGTATATTATGGTACATACTTTACTTTTATAACGTTGTTGATTTGTACATTTTTTTTTTCCGAAATCAACTTTATTATTATTATTATTCACAGACATCTTGGACATATAGTTTGATATACAAACCAGTATTTTGAATCGATGAAACAAAAATTTTCTAGAAGAATGGAAATCACATCCAAATATTTTATTGAACTAAACGTTTTTGGTGGCTTATTCTTATTATACATAGCAGGAATCGTGAAAATTTGGATGAACTAGTGATGTTTATATTTTTTACAATACTAACTGTAAGTAGCATTATTTTCTAAAAGCAATCCAGCAAGCCAATCATCTGGATGCACTACAAAGAAGAGATTTCCTAAAAATGTTATCATACAGATTCCGAATTTCACCTTCTAAACAGTAATATTTACTAAGCACTATGAATAAAATAATAATATATGAATATATATTTTGTCATCTGGAAATATGGCAAACAAAGGCAAAACAGAAGAAAAGGAAAATCAGCCATTTCTCGATGTATTAGTAATCAGTAACTTGAACCAACAATGGATAACTTAAACACGAAGTGTACTGGCAGAAAACGCACACTACCACCAACAACAGAAGATGTCCGTAATTTGCACTTCTTTCCAAAGAGCCAAGAAAAGAGTGATTATATGTTCAAGAACATCCAACGGACCAACAAGGAGAATGGACTACAGGTTACAGATAGGGAAAGTAATCAAACTGTAGGTTTAATCTGTCTTTCCTTTGTTTCAGGTATAACGGAACGCGTGTGCAAATATGGCCGGGCAATACGAACGGAACTTCGAATATCAGTATAAAGGAACACGAACGGGACAGCAGACTAGAAAAAGCATACCATAAAATAGATTTCGATAAGACGAAAATACTTGCCAGGAGTAGCCACTTCCACCAGAGATGGTAGAGAGCTAAGTCGAACACAGAAGTTTTTTTGGACTCCATAACGGATTCTACCACTCAACAACGAACACGGCAATTAGGAAATGGTAATTAGCTCATAACAATTATAGAGTATATATTGTCAACTATCCACCTTTTTTGTCACTTTTGAACTGGCATAACCCGTAAGTTTCTAGTTTTAGTTTAGTAATTAGAAAATTACTTCTTCCAATTTCTTATTGTATCTTGTCGTAGTTTAATAAAATTGCTCATGACTCCAGATACCTAGACTTAAATTTCTGTAACTCGAATGGCGTCAAGACCTTTAGAATTTTTCGGTCATCCGGCGCTTTAATTAGCCCGCCAGATATGCATTGACAGTTTGTTTAGTGTGCTCGACGTTGATCCATACCCCATTGATATTTTAGATACAGGACGTACACGACGTTCGTCGAACTTCCTCTCGTAAGACATTTTGAATGCATGTTTTCTATGAACTTTTTTCTGCGAATTTTTGTAAACATTTTCATACGTAGATGATAGTAGGATAATATAAGTAAGTACTTATACACGACAAAAAACATGTAGGACCTAAAAATAGTCTTAATCTTTAGATGTCTGAAGTTCTATAAACCAGGATAATAACGATAATAGATATATTGTGATTTTTTAGTATGATCTTCACAAAAGCTTACCTTAGAAATAGATAAGCTCAACCCGAGGTATTTGTTAAAACGATTATTTGTTAAAACTTACCGAATTTGACACAAAAACTGTTTTTATGCTTTTCTTTTAATAATAACGCACTGCTCAGTTAGCACGTCAAGTGATATAGATCCTCTTTATAATTTCGACAACTATCAAAATAAACTAAAATACCGATTACGAAGTGCGTAGGATGATGTTCAGAAAAGTTTGTTTAAATAAATGTATTAGGAAGTTAATGTTAGAAATTGAATACATATAAATTTAATGTTAGTGCAAAGAACAGTGAAGACTATAATATACTTTAGTACATAAGAATAAAGTGAAACCCTATTATTATAGCAAATAATATAAAAAAATAAACTTAGTAAGATTAATTCCTTTAAGAAAACCGAGATGCGAAAAAACAGTAAAAAAGATTTTAAATATTTCCAACACTGTCAAAACGGTGAGGTTTATAATTGAAAATATTTTATCCTTAGTGGACAAATCAATGTGAACCCCTTATATTCGGCAATGAAGCTATAAAGACGAGATAATTAAACAACTCGGTGTGTTACTTGAGTAGCGATTGCCGTAGAGTTTACAACTTTAAGTTCAACAAGCCGTAAACTAATTCGGGTAAGCTTGCTTGTTATGTGACAGGATGCAAGTATCAGTCAATTTAATTGTGGAATGGAGCGACATGTAAAACCTCTTTAATTCCAGGAAGATATGTGCGATTCAGCTATTTCTTATCATTATTTAAAGAAGCTAATAATCTGAGATACAGCTTAGATAGGAAGCTTAAGTATGAAAAATTAATCCTTGGGATACAATAAGATATCTTTTAAGTATAATTAAAAAAGGGATATAGTTGTCTATCATATAGTAAATATTTTGAAAGAAATATTGAACAACTAAAAATCTAGATAGGATTTTTAGGTTTCTTGACGTAATATTATACGAATATGATGCAGATTAAAATTCAGTCACATTAAAAGTCCCTGATTACATTACATTTGAAGACTTTCTTTTATGTATTTCGCAATACTTTCGATATTCTTTGTGTCAAGTTAAAGAACTTTTTCTGATCACTATTCTATTGTATACATAAAATAATCTGACCTGTGTGGCCACATGTATTAACTTTTTATGACTAGTTTCACTGACCGGAAACAAAGGATAAGTTTAACATACAATTCTGCACGTACTGCTGAATTTAAATGCGTATCTATTTGATATTACCGTTGTATTATTGTTGGTATTCCACAGCTGAGCTTTAAAATAAATTCATCAATTCTGGAGATGAAATGATAGTAATAACTTTAAATACTTTTATTTGTATGAAACATTGATTTAAAAGTAATAGTTTAATTTTAATTAATCAAAGAATATCTAGGAGTATTTTGTAGTTAAATTACGGATTTGCGTTTTGCGCTTATGCAACCCTAATTCCAAAACTTTACAGCTAATATTTTATCATAATTTGAGAAGCATACAATTAAATTTTCTTGATTTAATTTTTGAATATTTTTTTCTACAAGGTTTAGTTGTTGCATTACACTATATAATGATAATAGTAATGCATCTCTACTCATATCCTAACATGCAACTACATTAGTCGGCTACATGCACTCGTCATAACAGATACAAATGGATATTAAATTGCCACGATCACGCCACAAATTTCTTATTTTTGCGACCAACGGAATCTAACCAAGTAGAAGATGTAGGTACTTAATCATTATAATCTTGTCTTAGATAGAAATTCAATAAATTTATAAAGCGACAATGATTGGGAATCAATTGATTGACAATTATCAAATATAGTGACAAAAAGAATTATACCAGGCAATACTTAAACGTTCGGAATATAAAGCGCTGTTAGAATGTGGTTTTAAGGTTTTAAATGTTAATAAAAGTAAAAATACAAGAAATACTCAATGAAGGAGAAATTAAATCATATTAACTTGAATGTAGCTGATAATAATGATTGTGTTGATAACCACCAGTAAATATAAACCACAAAAGTTTTGTGAAGTGAAAATTGTTTCGTTTTGAAATGAACTTTTTCCACACATTATTGAGGATATTTATGGTACAGTAAACGTGTTATACAACTAAATTACAACTATAGATACTTAATTGATGTGGGAAAAAAGGTTTTTTTTTAATAAACAGTCTGGAATTTAGAGACTTTTTCAAAAACGAAAAGAATTACTTTCATATATAACATTTTTCCATTTTATTGTTATTAAACATTTCAAAAAATGTTTTAAATATGGTGTGCGTATATACAGTTAATTAAATTGCAATTAAGCGAAAATGACATGAAAAGTTGAAACGTAATGCCGGTAATGCCACTTAATAATAATTATGTAATACCTGTAATACTCACTTGATTTCTACGCAATTCAGCTTCATTCTTTCTTAAAGCAACATCCTCCAAGTGTCCGGAAACTCCGCAAACAGCTGGCACGCACTTGTACATATCAGCAGGATCGCAACACTGTTGTTGATTGATATTGATCGAGTTTCCGTTACAGGAAGTATTATTAAAACAAGGTGACGAAGTCGTTGTCCTGCTGACGTTCACGGTCTTGTTCAAATTCTGCGTTGTCGTCGTACCGCAATTCCTGTTATTGATGATATTCAGGTCATTAGCGCCGTCGTTTCCCACTTTCTGGTGTTTTGGCACGCATCCGTTCTCGTATATCACCACTCGGTTGTTGATGGTTTTTGTTTCATTTAATGTAACGTTCACGTAATTTGGAGATTTTCTACCGAAAATTTGTCTGTCGGGCGTTTTAATTTTTTGTTTTTCAGTGTGGTTTAGTTCGGAATAATTCAAAGCGGATTGAGGGAGATTCTTAGCAAACGTTTGCAAATCCGGCGGCGTTTTTCCTAAAACGTCTTTAGCCGGCATATTTACGGTAACCAAATTCGATGAGAACACTTTCGGTGAGATCGATTTCTTTAAATTTTGAGCGGCTAAATATTCGAATTTGGTTACTTTAGTCATTATACTCGACGGTTTTTCGTCATCGGATAGAGAATCTCGTGAGGTAGAGATCTTTCTTGGCACCACCGGCGGTTTTTTACCGTACTTTGGGGACTGATAACCACTTTCGACTTCAAAAGACATAGGCGTCATTGAAATCCTTGAATTTGGTAGAGCTGCCTTTATTAGTTTAGCCTCAGCCGGGTGATTAAATCGCATATAATTTGAACGACCTATTGTTAACATGGCACCTATAAAAAGTGAAAACAGCATTGTGTTAGTACCCAGAGAGTTAAGTTCGATTTTACACCTTTTACCTTGAGATAAACGAGTTGCTCCTGTTACTGGAACGCTGTCTATGCACAAATTTTCGGATAGAGGGTAAATTGTTACTATTCCATCGCAATTTTCTATGTGACAATGCATTGGTAGTACCCCAGTACCTTGAACTTTAATATCTGCTGCTGGACTACTTCCCAAAGTTACTCTACCTAAAATAAAATGATTAAAAACATATTAATAAACAACCTAAAATATATAAAAAAATAAATTGGTATAAAGTTATTAGAAATCGTTAATAATGATCGTAAATGTAGTATTTGTGAAAGTGTAGATAATAAATAAATACAATTTTCTTCAAACTACGTTTGCCGATTAATTTAACGATCGTTTAATATAAATAGACATCAATTTCTCTCATTTCCTCTGTAGGAGGCCCCTTATAAAACCCGTTGTTTATATGTAGGTAGTATCTAATTTCAATGAATGGCCAGTGTATTTATAACCCGCATACATAAAACTAAATTATAGAAGTAAGTATTAGAAAGAATTTAAGCAATTATTGACATTCAACATGTGCAAGTAATATCAGCACGTGAATACACTGTGTTTTAATCGAGAATACATACGAAGACTCTATCAACACGATGACTGAATAACTAATTGGTACACATGTGTACATAAAGCCGTTTGGTCCACATCTGTATATCATACTGACAACTAATTCATCTTAAAAGTATGTTGCGAAGAAATTTTAATTAACTCTTAAGACTTTTTTATTGAAGTATTTAAAATGCTTGAAATTTTACCTTTACAATCACGAAATAAATAGCGAGAAGAGATTCACACCAGTGTAAAGAGCATTCAATTTGCTGAATAAATACGCAAATCCAAACAAGATTCCCTTGAACTGATTTCCGTCTTCTGGAATAAACCAGACTTCGCCTATTTTAAGATTTTAACCAACTTTAAAATAAAAAGCAATAAGCAAACCTGTACTTTGCAGGTTCGGTTTACTTATATAAAATGATCTTTAAAACATGACTAGTATGGCGCTGTAAAATCATCCTCGATGTATATTTTCATGCATCAGAGTTTTTTCTTTTCGTATTTCTTTGAAACCCTTTTCGTTAAAGCCGAAGTCGTTTACCATCCCATTAGGAACCATATCTTAAAATAGGATTAAAACGCGCGTAAAGTCACCGTGTGTGTTGGTGGCGGAATCACAATTGGCGCCGGAGACTTATTTTAAGAAAGAACATAAAGGGTCGAGCCGCCCAAGAAACAACTACCGGAAACCGTAAGCTTAACTTTAATTTTTTTCAATTCGTTCCAAGAATATCACCAAAACTACACTCGATGTATTTTTAAAGAAATTGTGTCTTTTTATATTTTTTTTTCTGTTTTCACTTCTTTTATGTTCTTACCTTGTGGTAATGGGTGCAAGGTAACCGCCGTGCTGAGTCTACCTCCTCCCATGCTGACCAAGTGCGGGGCATCCGTTTGAAGTTTTAGGGCTCTGCCCCCGCTATCAGTTAATTCGACGGCCCCCGTGTTCACCGTCGTGCCGGATGTCGTCGTCCCCGACGTCAACGTTACTCCCGACATGCCTGAAATGTAACGGGAAGGGAGATTTTATTACTCATCCTTCTTATTTAGTTAGCAAAAGTGGTGATTCATACTACGATTCATAAGGTCATTGTATCAAATCAACCCATATTTATTATTTTATTATATAATCAATGTAAACAAACAGTAACCAAGGATTTCTTTTAATTCAGCACATCTTTTAATTTAATTAAATATATCAATTTTTATTGAACGTGTATATTTATTTGTCTTTATTTACTTGTTGAATCCTCTACAGCGCAAATTCTACATACAAAGGTTTTACTGACTAATGAAATTTAGTTTACATCGTGTGCAAAATACAACAATAATAATACGAATTAATAATAATAATTAACAAATATAATCAAAGAAAAGAGAAGGACGTAACGCAAAAAAGATTGATTTTAGTAGCAAAATAAATATATAGAGCGAAGCAAAATGTTGTTTTATCAATACGCATATTTTATCTATATTAATTTCTGAGATGACATCATGGACTTCTTTCAGTGGCTTTATATCATATTGAATATACAGACAAAATTGCAGTATTTTCCCTTTTTGCTATCGTTTCGATATATTCCAAAATTTAATCTTCTCTTGGATAAAATCTTTGAAGGTTTTTGGTTAAAAAAGAAACGAAGTAATCATATTTACGAATTTATTTACCTAGCAAGAAGTCATGTCAACAGCTTTATTATGCAAAATTAGTGTAAGAAGTCTATCTAAGTAAAATAAAATGTACCCAATCTCGATATATGACGTCCCACAATCTTTGAGTTTTAAATGCAATATTATCAAATGAATGAGTGAGAAGAAGAAAAACAAGATTCCAAAATACGTCATTTTAAAGTGGATTTTCCATTAAGCTCATATCCGTTGATTTACATTTAAAATATTGATGAGTGGAAAATTAATAATATTCCTTGAATGTTATCCCTCTTCCACTGGTGAGTTAATGTTCTGAATGGGTTGACGAAACTATGCACGTATTAGGCACTATTTGAGCAACATGTTATATAATTGCCGGTGTTTTCATGTTATTTTAAAATTCACTGCCTGCTGTACAGCTCCTCTACGTTCCCTGAATCCAAATTGATTCTCTTCTATTCCCGGGCTGTGATGCATCCTTTTCCGGTTTTGGGAAAGTTTTGGGAGTACCATTTTATTATGCCCTTACTATCTTCGTACATCATCTTGCATTTTTGGGAAGCACCTTGAGTGCCGTGTTTGGGATAAACTGCTAATTTCTTCCTCCGTAATCTCCAGTACTTCCAGGATATTAATTGATTTAAATTGTTCAATGCAGTGTTCTCTTCAATAATAAGCACGCAAATAGGGCGTGATAAGAAAACAGTCGCCGTTTCCAGCAACAGTTGACATAAGGAGTAGAAATCTTGAAGTCATAAGAATGTGAAGAGACTGGAATCATTTAGAAACAGAATTCTGCGTTTAGCAACGAATACTTCATATAATGTCAGGAACGGAGACATGCTGGAAGATATAGAGAAGAAGGCACTGTGCGATATGCTAGAGGAAACAAATCGAAGGTGTTGAAAAGCTTGAAAGAAAACGATGATTCGGATATGGTAAGAAGTCTCTGTAGCTCTCATGACTTGTTTGGTTGTTGATTTTCGACTCTTATCTACGCAGCGTATGTTAGCAGTGGTCTTACACAGATTTTATAGATCCTTACTTCCAGTAGGCAACCAGATATTACTGCGGCTTTGGTTGCCTATGGTTTCACTTCATGTCTGGTATTGTTATTGCTTGATATATCGACTCCAAGATATTTAAACTGCATAACCTGTTGGATCGACTTCCAGTTTTCATTGTGTTGGGGCTTTGGAAATCACCATTGATTGTGTTTGCATAGGCAAAGTTGTTTGCGTAGAAATTTGCATGCTGAATTGATCTGCAGTTTCTTTCAGTTTGAATAGACGTTGCAAGTCTACAATGTTCATGTTAATATTAACAGTACATATAAACTCAAGCTTTTATTAATAAGCACAAGAGAACACCTAAAGGATTAAAACTTGTTACTATAACATGGATACCAAAAAAGTATTCGTAGAATGGTGTCTAATTATTTTTTCCTGTAGTACATTTCTTGAAAAACAAGCACAACTTCCACCTATGGAGCAAAATGTGATTCAAATGATGAAGACTACTATAAAAAAAACTTGCTGAATGCAGTTTTACGAAAAGATATATACCGTATTTTCTCGAATCTTATCCGCACTCGAATCTAATCCGCAACTCGATTTTAAAAATGCAATGTTGGTAAAAAAAGTTGGTTTTCCAATGTAATCCACATCCGATTGTAATCCGCATTTGATTTTAGAGCATACAAAATTTGTAAAAAGGGTGCGGATTAGATTCGAGAAAATACGGTACATTTAAAATTCGAGAGAACAATACAATTATCATGAAAATAACAATGATGAGAGACTGAATAGCATTTACAAGACGAATTATCACTTGAAGAATTGCGATGCTATAAAATCGAGATGCAGAACCTAACAAAATATAGAAGAATGGTTTGCGGAAGAGTCAGGCAACAAACCATTCATGGCTGTAGATGTACTATTCAAAGAGTAATTATTTTTGAATCAGACTATATAGAAGTTGTATCTACAAATCTTCGAGAGGACATGATGAAATCTGAAGATACTTAATTGGCAATCGATGAATAACCTTAGAGACGTATATTATAACAAGTTAGTCCGACAAATACGAGACATCTTGTGGTACTGCATTATCGAACTATATATACATAAAGTTTATTAAGTAATTTTTCTTGTATTTTTCGATAAACCGTACTTATACAATTAACCAAGTTAAATATCAAAATCAACCTTGTCGCACACTTTTATAATGCCGGTACACGTATAAGTCGAAGGTACATTACAAAATCGGTCTTGTTACAATAAGCGCCGGCGCCTTCATTTTGCAACACGTCTGATACATTAGAAAAATAACAACATATTCTAATTAACCGTTTTTTTTTTACTTTCTCACATGTACGAAGTATATAAAGAGAAAGTGTTGTAATTATTTCGACCTCAAGATTTTGATTGGCTTTTTATATTAAGATGATTCCAATTTTAATTATGCCTTTATAATTACGATAAACATTCAGATGTAAAATGTTGAAATTAAGTCACCGGAAAGAATGTTGCTCTGCATGTAATCTCTATAAATATTGACAAAAAGGAGAGAAATCCATTTAAATAAAACATCATTTATATGATGCTCGTAACTCCGAAAGTGTTAATTAAAACCCTAATAATAATAGTTTATTAACAGATGTAACACAATTAATAGAAAAAAAAAAGTTAACAATAAGTTGGTTTCTTTTGTATTTTTATACCAAAAATAGGTTCAACAAAGATTATTTTCTATTATTCATATGTTAATGAAATTAAGTAATTATTGACTCAAAAATTATCTTAAGTAACCTTTCTCAATTTAAACCAAGTTATCTAAGACGAGATATATTCACAGAAGAACTAAATACATATCAGGCTGATTACAAAATGTTGATAAGTCTAGCTAATAGATTCAAAAAGTAAACAAGTAACTATTTTAAAATTTTAGTAAAAATAGCGACTTTTTAACTTTACTTTTGTTTTGCTCTTTTGAACTGGAATTCAGATCTTGTTTTTTATTAATATCTTGGACGTCAAAAGCCATATATAATATATGGAGTTAATCCTAAGTAGGGAGACCTCTGATTTCACTAATAAACAACAATTTAACAAAATATTGAAGCATTTAAAGAACATAACACGATTTTTTGTCAAGAGAAATAGTTATTATTGTATTGACTAGCAACAATCGTAACCCTATAACATATTATTTCAGTGTTTATGATGGCTAATGTAATATGTGTTGCAGGATGTAAACAGAAATATCTACAGAATGACTTAAAATATCGGATAAGTATATGATATTTCTGTTTAAAATGGCTGTAATTTTTATTATTTACTATGCAAATGATAAGCGAGGTTACAAAGATGGGTGTGTATCGACACAACTTGATATGTATCTAGCGGACTGTGTAAAGGGTGATTTATTAGCTCACCGACAAACTTTCTCGTATGAAAGCTCTAGTAATTTATGAAAAGAAAAATCATTTAGACATATGCCCGATTTCACCTGTTTAAGGAAATGGAAGTTTAAAACTTCAGTTTTTTGCATAAAGACAATTTAATAATAATATATAATTAGTTATATAAATTGGTATGCGTTATTAATAACTAAATATTATTTCCTTAAAAACTAGCACTAATTCACTGTTACTTTGGTTTCTGCGATTTCAATTATAATAACTTAATACAGTATAATTAAAATATATCAGAGATGATATCAGAGATTATTTAAGATGATAATAACCGGAAACACCGCAAAACGGGTCAATATTTAAAATGAAGATGCAATTTTGTGTACCTGCACAATCGCCCAATATGAATCTTTCAAGCATCTGTGGGATGAAATTGGACAGAGCGAAAAGGAGAAAAATTTACAAACATGACATTGAAACAAAGCTTAAGACGGTATTTTTGCGAGAATTAAAAGCAATAGATGAAGAAATAACAAAAGATTGGTACACCAAAACGGCTATTACACCTTTGACATTCTAACGGTAGTATTTAGAAAATGTATACTACATATTTAAATCGCGTGTACAGAAACTTTTTTGACTACATTTTTGTACCTCTATAACAAATTATGGAAATGGAAGAACACGTTCTTTTACTGAAAATGGGCCAGTTTTTCTTGTAGACAATATTCCAGAACATCCTCAAAATCTTAGTGAAATAGAAACAGCCATGGAAGTCAAGGTTGTTTTCATGCTTCCGAATAGAACATTTATTTTGCGACCAATGGATAAAGATACTTAACACATTCAGGGAAATATTGACAGTTACACACTTCGCAGAAAACAGCTCAAGGCTATTACGGTTTTTTTGATATTTTGAAAGATATTAAATACATCAAGTCAGGGATGAACTTTCAA